CTACTGCCAGCTTCACCGTCATCGCTCACTCTTAGCTCGAGCCTCCTCCTAAGTCGGCCAAGGCTCCTTGGTCCTGCAGAGGGTGTATCCGTTAGCGATCAAGCAGTACATGCTGCATCTTTTTCTTCTCTGGGCAACTACGTAGATTCACTTTGTTACAACTTCCCTTTCACTCAGCATCTTACCTGTAACACGCGCGCCTACAACATCATTATATATCCTCAGTCTTCCTGGGGCTGCCGGCGCTGCTATGGGCTCGCCTGCGTCATGCATGAAATATAATTTTTAGGTTTGATGCCACAATGGAAAGGGTATGACTCAGGTCTAACAAATTTTCATTACACAAACCTCTAATCTCAGCCCTGTTTAGTGTCCTATCCAGTCGCACACTTGGATCCACCGGCTCATCATCGCTGTCGCTACTCGACGAATCTGGATTTTCTTGTACTACCTTTTTTTCCTTTTGAATCCGCGTTGTATACGGGCGTGCTTTTTTCTGATTCGTCGACATAGGCTTCATCTCCAGACCTCTATAATGACGCAGTGCGAAATTGTTGGCTAGCTGCAATTAGCCCCTGAGCTGCTCGTAGCGCGTCCAGTTGCGCTTCTGTTGCACAGAAAACAATTGCTCTCAAGATATATTGATGTTTTCAACATATTCTTGTGCTAGACATGACCCACCCTTTTTTCATTGAATTCCTTCAATCAAGAAGTAAACAGGTCACCATTACCTGTATTTTGCAGGATGCCTCCAGGTTCTCCAACTACATCAATCCATCTATCCTCCCGTGGATCGAAGTGATCATATGGCCTCGTCTGCATGAACATGCTCATTGGTCAATATAATAGCTACATGCACAATATTTCAGTTCATTCATTGGCTTGGGAATTAATCATAAAAGGTTGACATGCCCGGATTCAACGACGGTTTTCTCAAATGGCAGGCAGTCTACTTATAGTGAATATGGCCGGGTACTCTCTTGTCAGATATATGAGCCTCCTACATATTTTCCTTGTATAGACGCTGATGCGGGGGACTGTGTGCGGCTCGACATTGTGTGGACCATAGTCCATCTAGTCGAAGAACCATGGCTGCAAATATATAACCCCAAACATTATGCATGATTGAAACAACATTCAGTTGTGAAGCATATGTTTTTAATTTGCACAAAGAAATATTTTATTTTCACAGGAACTTACAATAAGGGCCAAATGGCTGCCACCAACAATAATTGTTCTCACACCGGCCTCCAAATCTTCTTGCATTTTCTTAGCTGCTGCCCTGATGATTTCGAAAGCCCACTCAGCTAGGTCGTACCCTCCTGTACCACCTTGGGAGAAAGCCATCTCAAAGGCTCTCGTTTGACTGCCGTCAAGAATTGAGGACTCCATCCTTTTTATAGCTTCGTTGACAACATGTATGGTTAATCCCTCGTCTCTGGCGTGTGTCCTAGTCTCTATTCCAAGAGTGTCCCTGATTCTTCGTGCATAACTCTGCCTGGTTTTGGGTGATAACTTAGTCAAGTTGACCTGTTTTCCCCCAATTTTTCAGACCTAAGGTCCGAACTATGGATCTGGGAGTAAAATACCTAAACTGGCCATCAGGGAATGTGAACCTCATGTCTTGCCACCTAAACCTACTCAGTAGCAAAGCATAGAACCTCCTATCAGCGTCACCTGACCACGCTGTGGTTAACAAACTAGCCATGCCTGTCCTATGAACTACTGGGTAGTACAGGATTCCGAGCCTAAGGATATGATGGCAACTCCATGTACATTTAATCACCCTACCACGGAGGGTGTTTGTCTCGGATTGAAGCCCTGGTGCCACGAGTGGAAGATCATGAACACCAGGGTGCGGACATCTGTCAACGAGGATCGGTGTTTTGCGAGATCTATGGTGACTAGTCCCCGCGCAGCTGCTGTCGGCCACCACGTGTTGTTTTCTCTTTCGAGTTGTACTTGGCCGCACTTCACCATCCTCCCAATCACCAACCCGCCATTTTTCAATACATTAGCGGTGATGACTATTTTTATATGTTGACCACTACTTGCACAGAACAGAGGAGCATTATCAAAGAGGACCGAGCCAAATCGAATCTACTGTTCTGTTCTTTTTGTGATTAGCGTAGTCTTACCGAGGCATTGGATCTAGTGAGCTGCGTTCCCCCTCCTGCAGTAGTATCTAGGTCTAGCTGAGCCCCGTTTTCATCTCCTTCTTCCCACCGACGTCGGACAGACCTTGCTTTTTTGCAGTTTCCATGGGTGTCAATCTCCTCACATGGGAGATTCGTTTTCTTTGGTGGATCCGGTGGCTCCATGACGCCGGACCTACACACGGCAACCATTGGAACGACTTAGGAAAAGCCACCAACCAGACTGAAGCTTTACAAGACGGAAAAAGGCAGACAAGAAAGCGAGCCCGGCGAGTGCGCTATCTTTTTCTGTCATCAGATCGAGGGAAACTCACCGTCGCAGTTGATTGAGCTGGCCGGAGAGACATAGCCGACGTATCTACACTTCGATACCAGATCTGGGAGGCCGTGAGCAGTGTTTCTGAGGGTAAGAGAATAGTTGGAGAGGATGAAATGAGCTAGTGCACTAGACTAGGGGGAGAAGAAGTACCAGCCCCTGCTCGGACGGTGTGCTACTTTTTTACTAAAAGAGGCAACAAGCTGTCTCACCCCGCGTGCCTATGTGTGTAGTCTTCTCACTATTTACTCCTCACTGGAACCAGCCGTGCAGGAAACTTATTCCTCGCATTCATTACACCAGTTTCGATCCATGGGCAGGC